CCATGTGGGTCACCTCCTTGGTGGGGATTGAACTCATGCTGAAGTGGCTTTAGCTTCTTAACGCTGTGCTTTAACCCGCTGTGCCACCAGGGAGGACCCTATTTTTTTTAACTTAATTTTATATTGTGAGCATTTCTCCATGGTGTAAGAATATTCGTTCTAGTAACTACACACATCTATTCTACATAAAATAATAACTATAGACCTCAAGGAGTACCCAAAACATTAAAAGAGAAAAAAGCTAAATGATCTAAAAGTTGAAGATGAAGGAATATTTGCTCTAATTACCAACTTGCAAAACTTAAAGGTTGCGGAGGCAGATGTTGAATGGAAATATTAGGAAATAGTACAAAATCCATAATGAAGCTACTTCGGTAAGTGCATAAAATAATGAAAAGAGTTCTAAGATGGTGTGCTATAGATTATTTAAATACCAAGAGAACAATAACTACTGCGTAGCATCAAATAATATTGGTAAGGTTAATTAATACAGTTTTCTGAAATAACACAAAGGAAATTCCTACCTTTTAAAAAGATGGCTAGAGAGAAAAACAATCTAAATAACTGAAAGATGCCTAGAGAATATATGCACAAAGGAGCTCATTAACTTTAAAAAGTATAATATTGTTAGCATGGTGTTACAGGCTCTGACTTTAGATTTCCTTAGTGATCTTTAGTAAGGACTTGGAAAAAGAGGTCAGCAGTGATTAGTGCAAAGCTGTCCAATTCCTCCCCACTCCCAAAGATTGTTCTCAAGGACAAGAAAAAAAAATGTAGTAGTTTTTCCCTCTAGTGAAGTATTTTGTGCTTTCTGAGGATTTATCCTGATAGAACCAGCCCCTCCCTATGCTTCAGAGATATCACCCACTTCCCAATTACAGCCAGCAGGTCTAGCCTGACTTGGGCTAGATGGAGGGAAGAAAGTGCTCAGATAAGGGCTCTGGAGAAGTTTGCAGCTTATTATAAAGATGGGCTGGGGCACAGACAGAAGTGCTTCAATCCCAGGGCTCTTGTTGTGTATCACCAGGACACATGACCACAACTGGAGAGAGTTCTCTTTCCCAATTTCTACAGTAGAGACAATAAAATCTACTATTTCATGAAAGATAGTTATTGTCATTATACTTAGTTTTATATTTTCACATTATTTTTCTGCACGCTTTGACATGGAATCATAACTCATTTCAACAGTTATTGTTGAATACTGAAATGAATTTATAGTTCATTTCATTTTTATCATTTAAGTCATGAATTTACACAGTGATAAGCCAGAAAATTCCTTTCATCCTGACTTATGATTTGATGTTTAATAAAGTTCACGGTGGCACTGATGATACTTTTAAACATTCATTAAGTTAAAAATTCCCTTAATAAACTGTTTTTTTTAATTGAGAATCTAGTATGTGCTACACACTATGCTAAACATTATGGCTAGAAATGACTAAATTTTAGCTAAATAAAAAAGTCAAAGATGGGGCCTCCCTGGTGGTGCAAAGAGTTAAGTCTCAGCACTAATAAGTAACCTGCAACCAACTGCATTGTGTAAATAGCAGCCTGAGTTTGATCCCCAGCCAGAGAGCTGACCCACATGGTGCAACAGACCTCTCCTCCCTCTCCTGCTGCTCCCCTCAGCAATGTATTTCAGTCAATCTGCCTGTCTGCTCCTCACTGTCTCCAGTGAATCCGCTCATCCCAAGCCCCTAGCACTTCTGGCCTATACCCCAGTTCTGTATGCATAAATAAATAAATCTAAAAAAAAAAAAAAGAAAAAAATGTCAAAGAGAAAACTGGCTAAACATATTTAGAAAAAATTAGGCAAATTTTATGTAAATGTTGAGTAGATGGATACCATGGAAAGAATTCTAGGTGTAATATAAGGCAAAGACTATATTGGTTTAAAGACCCAAGAAACTTTCTGGTAGGGAAAGAAGATGACTTAAGACATTGAAAAGACAGAAAAGAGTAGTTGTTGTGAGACTTTATTTTCATTATATGAATTATGTATATGATTTTGAGCCAGACATTTTATCTTTCAGAATTTTACTTCATCTATCTGTAAAATAGAAATTGGAGGCCACAAACTAAGATAAATAAAATATTCCCCTAAAGAAATCACAAAAGAAATTTCAGAATGTTTTTATATATAAAACAACATTTTGAAATTGTGGGAAATTAGAGAGATAATGACAATTATCATTAGAATGAAAGTATAAATATGAATTAATTTATTTAAAATATAAGACAGCTGCCCTCCCTGGTGGCGCAACGGGTTAGGACGCAGCACTGCAAGCTGGACGCACCTGCCCAGAGGTGATCCACTGACCCACCCGCTGCTCCCCTCAGTACCTTGTTGATTTGCCTTTTCTGTTCCCCACTCTGTCTCTATTAAAGTCTCTCACCACCTCTGCACCTCTGACTTGTACCCCAGTTCTGTATGAATAAATCTTAAAAATAAATAAATAAAATATAAGACAGGTTAAAAGTAACTGAACTACATGTGCAATTCAAAAAGCAAGGTTAAAGGCAAAGTAGATAATGAAAATAATGAAAGAAAGCATATAGAAAGTAATAAAAATATAGATTATCAATAAGACTAAAATGTGATTTTTGTAAATAATTCATACAAAGGCAGTTTATGGAAAGAAAATGATGGACCTATATCACTTAAGAATTTAGATGCAAACTTCTAAATTAAGTGCTAACAAACCATATCCAATAATGTATTAAAAAATACAGTATGATCAGTGATACAATTACTACAAAAAATCATGTTAAGTTTCCTCAAAAAATTAATAAAACTGTGATTCATTCCACTACATATGTGGATATTATGCTAAACAAGATAAACTAGTCATGAAGGGATAAAAAAACACATTATTCTACTTTACCTGAAGTATATAAAGTAATGCAAACCATAAAAACAGACAAAAAAGAAAGATATTTACCAAGAACCAGGGTAAGATGATGGCAGAATTAGTATTTAGTGAGTATAGAGTTTCCAAGTTGCAAGATGGAAACATTCTAGAGATCTGCTCCAGAGCAATGTGGAAATACTTGATCCAACTATGCTGCATATTTAAATTTTTTAAGACTTAAATTTAATGTTATATGTTTTACTACATTATAAAAAAAAGGTGATTAAGGCACAGAGGATAATAGACACTAGAGAGAGACAGACTGGGTTCCTTTCTCAATTTCTATCACTTATTTCTTTGACCTTGAGTAAATTTCTCTTCTGTTCTTTAGTTTCTTATTAAAATTAAGATAAGTATAGATCCTTTAAAAAAGCAAAACAGAAAAACCCATTGTGTCCAAGTAAAGTTTATCCCGTTAGTCTAATCCACCACACTAAGAGATTAAAGGCTGCAGAAAAAAAATTTTTGTTATAATTCAGCACTTGAAATGTTCTGACTTATTGTACAGGACAACCTCAAGGGAAAATGGGAGTGATCTGGGTTGTGAGGTCAGAATAAGACCCAAAAGGAGGTACACACTTAAGAGAGAAAAGGTTTACAAGAGGAGTTAGAAGAGGGGGAACAGAGAGAGAAGATTACATTTGCCAGGCTTTGGAGGGAAGCCAGCGGCTAAGGCAAGGCGTGAGCCCAAGCAAGAGAGTGCAGGCTGTCTTCTCAAACCAGTGTGGCTGCTTAGCTCTGCCCCTTGTTCTATTAGTCTTCCATCCCCCAGGCATGCTGGGGACTGTACTCCTCCATACCTGCACTCTCGTAACATGGAGATGGTGATGGAGTCTGGGAAGAATTCAGGAGGTAGAGGCTTTAGGACCTCATTCACTGGCTAGGAGTTTGGTCCTCTAACACTGTGTGACTTTTTTCTGTTTTCCTTTAGGTCTGCTCAAATGGCTTGTTGGACCACACCATATAGACCGTATACACATAAGTACTAACACATTACCCCTCCATGTCATTTTCCAATGTTGCTTTGTATTTCTTCATAGGAATATAACCTATGGGTCATGGGGGGGGGATACAGAATAATAAAAACAAATAAATTTCACTACTTAAAAACTGTAGAACTTCTGGATGCCAATAAAACATTAAAAAATTAAAATCCATATTTTAAAATTGGGAAAATATTTACCATTAGTACAACCAATAAGACAAGGGAAATGAGTTCATATAGAATAATAAAATTTTTCTAGAAAAAGGGGGCAAAGGACAATAATTAATGTATTCACAGAACATGAATGAAAGGCTATTAAATTTTTGAGGAACTTCAACCTCACAAGCAGCCTAAGAAATTCATGTTTAAATAGAAAAGTATTTTTAAAAATCTTTGAATAATAAAATTTTTCTAGAAAAAGTGGGCAAAGGACAATAATTAATGTATTCACAGAACATGAATGAAAAGCTATTAATTTTTTGAGGAACTTCAACCTCACAAGCAGCCT